TATTGACGAGAACTTCGATTCTCGTTTAGGTCGTGTCGGCTAAAAATCACTCGATCTAAAATTCGAGTTTTTACCTGTCTTTTGCTAAGCTGAAACTTCAAAAAATCATAACTTCCTCATACAAAGTCAGATTTGGGCGTTCTTTTTATACCTACTCTCGGTTTAATGAAAACTACGAGTTTCGTTTAGATCACTAAGGCTAAAAAGTAGTTTATCAAAAACTCACTTTTTACGACATTCGGCACCGTGCCGGTTTTGTCGTGAAACTTCGACAGGTCATAATTTATTCGTTATAACTCGGATTTCAGTATTCTTTATATATCCGTAATCCTTGTCACGCACACTACAAGTTTCTTAATAGATATAGGCTTTATCTAATATTTATTTTCGACGCTCATTTTCATTCTTAATTAATTAAACCCTAATAATTAAGCATAAAACACATAATTCACATAATATTCACATAATTCCTTTTCATTTCTTCAAAATGAGTTACAAAGGTTAACCTAGACTATAATGTCAATATTAATGCCTAGTCTAGAAACACGGGCATTACAAGTTAAACCACAATGCTTAACATATGGTTTGAAAGAGAGTATAGTGGCATGCCTTTAGGTCTCTAAACCTAGCATTTCCTACTAGTATACCATGTGCTTTAGGAACTAGAGATTTGGGTTTTATATATGCTCAAATCTTAATTATGTAAAGAAACTATGGTGAGTAGACAACGCAATATGCTAGATGGGAAACATGCTAGTGAACACGTACTCTTGGGGGACAATAATCTAATTTAGGGGAACATCAAAATCTAATATAAAACTAAACATTCTCATGGGAACTCCATCCATGATAAAGATAATTCTTGTCCATCAAGATGATCAATGCTTCATTTAATGGCTCAACATAAAGAGGATGCTAGAAGAACGATATAACGAAAAGAACCAATGTTAATCGATGCTAGTAATAAAATCCATACCAAAAACTGGGAAAAACAGAATAATTGAACTATTATGAAAGCTCAACGTTCAAGTTTTTGGTTTTAGAAAAATTAATTGTTTTGTTAGTTTGGTTTTTATTATATATAAAAACTGAAAAAATCGAACCAAACCAAAACATGTTAAAGTTAAAGATTATGTCTTTTTCATGCATATGTTCAATTGATTAAGTATATTAAAAATTAAAATAACTATTAAGTATTTATGGATTCTATTGAAATTTTAAATATTAAACATGGTTTGGGCTCCTCGTTTATTATTTTTTAAAAGTTACATGTTTTCTGTTTTCTAGCAATATTATTATAAAGCGAACATATAAAAGTAAAAAACAAAAGCTAATAGAGATATATATAGAAAAACCCCAAAATTTTAGAAAAAGTTTCAAAAATGTAATAATTTTTTTTTTGAAAATAAAAGTCTTATTATTTTGAAAAAATTATATAATCTATCATTTACTGTTTAAATATAAAAAAGACTTTTTCGTTAATTTAGGCAAAATGTTAAATAATTGAAATTTTTCTGTTCAAAAAAAACTTTTAGGGTTTTTTTGAAACTTTTTACAAAATTTTGGGACTTTTCTGTAGATATCGCAAACCTTAAAACCTAAAAGAAAATGAAAAGCCGGAAACGAACAAAACCGAGGTTTTTAAAAGCAAAAAACCAAAATTTTTGATTTATTTCGGTTTTAATAAAAATCTAATTTATATTAATCTCTAATGATTAACAAACTTCGTTCGATTGTTAGAAAGTAAATTTTATTTTTAATATTACTAATGATTTTCTGTAGAAAAACAAATACTACATTTTAAATTTTCAAATGAATGTTGAAAATGTGAGTTCTTTTAATAAAAATTTCCAATTAAATAACAATTGTTTTTTGAAAGTGAAAAAAAGTATAAATGAAAGAAACATGTAAAATAAATAAATATATATAGAGAGTTGAATCTCTCACATGTCACGCCCACTCCTTCGCCACCTGCACCAATCTCTAGTTTCATTGTTGTTGGGGAGCTGAAATTTGATCCTCTTCTTCTTCTTCTTCTTGATTGAGTTTGTATCAATTGATAATGGCGTCGTTGGCGCTGGGAACGAGGCGTTTCGCCGCTTTCGAATATACATCAGTGGGTGGAAGCTCGTTGCTGCGATGGTGGGATGAGATCGACGAATCGCCACTATGGCAGGAAGGAGTTTTCTACGCTCTCTGTGCTGCTTATGCACTCGTGGCTCTAATTGCGCTGGTAGGTTCATGATTTGGATCTTATGAGGGAATATGGTTGAAATTTGTTTAACCTAAAGTGAATTTTAGTTTGGGGTTTTGAAATTAGAGTGCGTTTTAACCTTTATTGTTGGAGTTAATTGTTTGATGCATATGTGTTTGTTTCAATTTTCCGGGAAACGTTTAGTACCAATTGGAATTAACTCAAAATTTTGGATTTCGAAAATTACTTATCATAGAAGTTAGCATCTTTGTTATGATTTAATGGTGTTTGTCTTCAAGGTTAGTTATTGACCTCAACTAGTGCCATATGAAACAGGGCTATTACTTGTTAAATATTTGGATTCTCTCAGGGTAGTAACAGTTCTTCATCTTTGCAAAAAGCTACTTTCTGACTTTATGTTCCAATTATCTTGGGGTTCTAGACTTTTGGAAGAATTATGTTATTTTCATCTTCACTTCAAATTGTTTGACCTAACATGGTTTTATTTGTTCTCATAGATTCAGATTACAACATTGATAATAGATAAGATATTTGACATTAATCATCATACATGTTAATAACATAAGTAATGATGACTATCTCATTGATACCAATGAAACAAACCATGATTCCTCACGTGAATGACCCCCCAAGACTCATTTTTTTAATTAGTTTTCAGATTGAAATATAGTTTTATGATTATCTCTGAATACACACACACAGGTGCAACTTATTCGCATTCAATTGAGAGTGCCAGAATACGGATGGACAACACAAAAAGTTTTCCACTTGATGAATTTTGTGGTCAATGGATGTAAGGTTGCTACTCATTTTCATAATTTCTTTACCTTTTATCTGCCTGTATATTTGATTCTTGTACATTCATATGCCTTTCCACAGTAAGAGCTCTTCAATTTGGATTTTACTGGTTTGTTTTTCACAACGAGCCAAAAGTAAGTTACCCTTTTGCAGCTTCTACTTCTATAGTAATGCCAAAAAAGGAAACTATTATTACATCATTAGTTATGCTATGCTAAATAGTTGTTACTCTTACTCTTGACACTGTAGGTATTAGATATAATACTTCTTGATTTTCCTGGTCTTCTATTTTTCTCAACATACACGTTACTTGTGTTATTCTGGGCTGAGATATACCATCAGGTATTCACAATTAAGAAACTCTGTAATCTTTTCTTTTTATCATCTTTACTCACAATATTGTAATGTTTTTTGTTGATATAATCATATCATATAAATAATAAATCTGGTTCTTGTCTCTGAATATCAGGCAAGAAGCCTCCCAGCTGATAAACTCAGACCTGCATATTTCATTGTCAATGGAGCTGTATACTTCCTTCAGGTAATACACAAACTCGCACTTACATTAATCATAAAAATAATAAGAGTTCAGTGGATAAATTGATAAGATAGTGAATCTATGTTGTGTTTTTCTATATTTTCCCTTTTCTAAAACTGGGTTACTGGAAAAGTGATTTTCTTGAATAGTTGATAAGAGTATAATGTTTTAACCACAAAGAAAAATAGGTAGGTGGCTAATCGATATTATAATATTTTTTTTTTATTGTTGAACTATGTTTCTAATTGTATTTAAACACTAGATTTGCATCTGGATATATATGAGATTCAGCCCTGTTGGTGTGGAGATTGCTGAACTCTTTTTTTCAGGTTAAAAAAACGATATAATTTCATCCACAAATGTGATTGCTTTGCTTTTAAGATTTGAAATTTCATCATCAGTTAAGGTTTTCATTGTTTATGCAGTTATTTCATTCTGTGCTGCTCTGGGATTCATTATATATGGTGGGAGGTATCTATCCATCTAATGCTATGAAACTATGATACCCCCCCTCAAAAAAATAAATAAATAAATAAATAGCTGTTTTTCTTATTTGTACATAATGATTTTCTTTTATTCTTGAAGGTTGTTTGTGATGCTTAGGCGCTTTCCAATTGAATCAAGAGGTCGCCAAAAAAAACTGCATGAGGTAAAAATTGTTAATTTCATAAAAGACCTTACATATTCTGTTTTTTCCAGATTAAACCTCAGTTTTATTTTTTCCTGAAAAGACCTTGCATTTTTCTCTTTTTTTTTTTTCCGATTTGGCCCTTTTAGCAGATTTTTTCTGAAAAAACTTGTCAAATGTGAGGGATTTTTTGGGAAAAAAGTAAAACTTTGAGGGTTTTTTTGGAAAAAATTAAAAGATTGAGGGTTTTATCGGAAAAAAAAAAGTTGAGGGGTTTTTCAGAAAATAAAAAATAAAATACAAGGTCTTTTTCAAAAAAAAAATAAAGTTGAGGTTTAATCTGGAAAAAACTCAATATATGAGGTCTTTTATAATATTAACCCTTTATAAAGTAAGTAATAAATTTTATAAATTGCAATACCATAATAAGTAAAATCTTGAAAGTACAATGTTGTAATAGAAAGAAATGAAAGTAGTATGTTTACACAAATAAATGAAACTACATTTCCAGATCTTGCATTTATCCCAATATAAAATATGTTTCATCTTCTTAACAATTTATGCAACAATGTCACTTTTTATTTTACCAATTTATGCTACAATGTTTCACTTTTTTTTTTTTTTAAATAAATTTATGTATCTTTTTTTTGATAGGTGGGATTTGTGACAGGAATTTGCTGCACATGTTTCTTAATAAGATGTGTGATGGTAAGCAATAGTTATTTGTGCAAAAGACGTAAATGCCCTCCTTATTCCAACTTCCATTTTAATTTGTAAAATAGGTTGCCATATCTGCTTTTTATGAGGAAGCCGATATTCACGTTCTGGATCATCCCATTCTTGATTTTGTCTACTACATGGTAATTTCTAAATTCATTATTTTAATCAGAAATCAATATTTTATTTATTTTTTTCACATTAAGTGTTTGTCTTGATAAAGTGCTACATACATTAGGTCCTTTTTTTTTTCTTTCAATAAACTGTCTGAATGAGAGGCTAAATGACCAATTTACCCTTATATTCCAAAAAACAAGTTTCATATTAATTATAAATTTTAATATGAGAGGAGTTGGGAGGAAAAACAGAAGGACAAATATGGAAATAGTTTAGTGTCTTAATACATTAAGCCTGTTTTTTTCTTGGCTTAACACATTAAATAAAAAAGAAACAGTCAGAAGTTAAGGTCATGTTTCTTTTTATTTTTCCCATTAATGTGAATAAATGACCATTTTGCCCTTGTAACAACACCATATTTTATTGTTTTCTGTTTGCTGATACAGATCGTAGAGATCATACCATCTGCTCTGGTGCTTTTCATTCTCAGAAAACTTCCTCCAAGACGCATGTCGGATCATTATCATCCAATCAAATGATGCCACCTGGCATCACCTTTTTTCCTGTATATCAAGTTTGAGTGTTTCACAGCTTATGGTGCGAATGTGTTTTGTTTTAATATTCATGTTTTGTTGAGAATAAGATTTTAAAAAATCATCAGCTGTATGTCTTGCTTGCTAACAGCATGACCAACATAGAAGACATTTTTTCAGGTATTTTTGTAATTCCAGAGTTTTTTTTGGGACCGGATTTTTAAATTTGATTTTTTTATTTGTCAGCTATCAGTTAGCTTTTCATATAGAAGTCAGCTTTTCAGCTAGTGCGCCAAATATAGTCTTAAAGGTAGTGATATTTGAATGGTTCTATTTAGAGGTTATCAGACAATCTTTAAGATAGCTATGGTTTTAGTTGTCAGAAAAACAAATATGGTTACTAAAAAAGGAAAATCAAATTGCTTAATCCAGAAAACCTAAATAAATGAATTAGCCCATGTTCATCTCTTAAATTATTATGATTTGGTTTCATTTTTAGGTTAAAGTAAACTCAAATCAGCCCTATTAGTAATTAGAAAGGACCATAGGAGGACTCAACTCAAATTATGAATTTATAAAATCCAAAAGATCATTAAAGTTTTACAATTGAAATCACAAAAATATACATGATTATTAAAACATGAGGCAACTCCAAAATATATTTTGCAAATATTTAAAAATAATGATCAGGTGTACGATTTGTCAACGATATTTTAGAGGATCAATAGAAAAAAATATTATTACCAAGGGGTCCTTATACTGGCTATCAAGTTTTAAATAATCAGCTCTTTAGTTAAATTTGGATTTTTGATTTTATTTATTAAAACATTATCAAATAGCTAAAAAATATACAGATTATAATAAAAAAATGGGTTATATAACCAACCAACACAATTCATCTTGCATTTTTTTCTCCTATTAAAAGTCCAATGGCAAAGTAATGATGTAGGGGCATCCATTATTGTTTCCTTAATAGTTGTAATTGTTTTCCAACTTTTCTGGCTTTATTTAGCATTTTGATTTTTCAAAAGAGTTATGTTTCCAAACTTATATATAGGGTTACAAGATCTACTAGCAAGACGTCTTTTGAATACTGATTTTAAAATAGCTTGTGAAGCTAATTTTGAGTGTTTATGCACAAAAGGAGTTGATTCTTGATTTCCACTAGCGTGGTGTTGTTGTTTTATCGCTAATGACATCAACTTTTGTCAGATTTGGTTAATTTGACACTTTATCCTTGATTTAATCATATTGTTATCTTAACCCAAGTCATATCCCTTTTATTTGTCATTTACCAACTCTTATAAGCATAAACTTGGTATGAGCAAACCCAAGTTGTCCTCAAGTTGTTTCTAATCACCTTACTAGTTTGTTTCCTCCCAAAACATCATGGAAATTCCGTTGGGATATATCAGCATCAATACACTATCTAAAGGTAGCGGAAACAATCAAAAGATTTACCTAAGTATACGTGCACCCTAGATCTAGGTTTTACTAGTTATAGCAACAGACTTTAAAAATCGACTAGAAAGAAACATATTAACCTCTTTATTGCTCAATTGGGATCTTGTACGTGCTAGTGCTTGCAATGGATGAATGATGCAAATAGAACCCCTCTAATGTAGTCAGACCCGCAAACACTAAAAAGAAAAGGGAACAAACCCTTGATTAGGGTTATACGGAATTCACTAACCCTAGGAGAAAGGTTATGAATTTCGTATATGGAGAGAGAAAGATATATATATATATATATATATATATATATATATATATAGAGAGAGAGAGAGAGAGAGAGAGAGAGGTT